CCCCCCCCCAACCCCCTCTTGACAGTACGACATGGCGACATACATGAAGAGCTGGCAACAAGAAAGGCAAGCGGAGGAGGAGAGGGAAGGCGGGGTCAGCGATGGAGAGGACGAGCCTGAAGCCGAGCAGGCGGATGCAGCAGCGAGCAATGAGGAGAAGATGGCATCTTTGAGCGTCAATGGCGACGAGGGTCAGGAAGTGGGCAGACGGAAGGAGTAGATCTACTATACTGGTTTTCCCCCCTCTCATCGCACTTCCCTCTCAGCATCGCAATATTTGGTTGACTTGGTTGACTGCACTACACATGAACTCCTCGTTCGAATGAGCTCGCTCCCGACCCACCAGTGCGGGCACTCGCAGCTCAGCGTGTGAGGGAACGTGAGGAAGGGTGAAAGTGTGACCATCAACCTCGCACGACATCATGAAAGCACTTGAAGCCCTGAATGGAGGTTGAGCACATATCATGCCTTCAGCACGCGTCATAAAACGAAGCCGGATGCTCATCTCCGGCGAAGGCCTTGCGAGAGAGCACATGCGCGCCGAGTCTGAAGGATTGCATTAGTTTGCGATGCTCTAGAATATGCACGTCTTGCCTCGATCACGCTCGTCAGGGGAGGGGAGTTGACGTCTCGATTGTCCCAATGGTGCTCTGTGGCGCACCTCTATTGCCCACTATCCGTCTGGTGCAAGGATGGCCGATACCAACTAGGCTTTGTGCACCAGCTTATTGCCCTCCCTTTCCAGCTTTGCGCCCACTGCCTTGGCCCTATTGATCAGCGGTGCCTCAAGCTCATCCACTTTCGCCTCTGCTTTACGCTCGTTGGCGCCGCCTGCAGCTTGAACCGACAAGAAAGTGTTCCATCCGACAGACACGACGTTACTACCAAGGCAAAGGGGGATGTTCGAGATGCCGATCAGATGTCTGCGAACGTGCTTCCCAAGGGCCCAAGATCTAAGAGCGCATCTACTCACACGAATAGCAGCCTGAGATGAGGAGGCACGATGCTGAAATTGATGGCTTGAACAGGTGCCCAGACACCGACAGCAGCTTTGTATGTTGGTAGCCAGGAAGTCTTGAGCTTCTCTTGAGCCGCCGAAAAAGGCTTGCCCTCGAGGAAGTTGGTAGCTGTGAAGAAGATGCTAATGATCAAGGGCGACATGATGACCTGGTCGAGCAGCACCTGTATGTCGAGCGCGGGCAAGGGAGACAAGATTCAATCACACGCAGTATACAGTGCTCACGGCTGAGCAGATACCACTGCTCTCTCCTGATCGGTGGTACTCACCTTGGTTCCCAAAGTTGCGGCCTTGTTTTGAAACTTGACGTGCTCCAAGATCTTGCCCATCCCTATCGATTGGCAGGCAAGGCGAAGCGGCGCATTTGCGTGGTCAGCTAGGGTGACCGCTTGCCGACTCGTGGCGGGCTCATTGCCCCTTCAATGCGGAGCCTGCTTGCAGTGTGGAGATCCGCGAGTCGCTACTGTCGTTGGCCTCTCGTATCCAGCTGAACGCGTGCCGCGCGATTGCCCCTGACAAATCTCACAAAATGCCAAGGGCGGCCACTTACATGTGGACATGATAGGAGCAAAGATGACACCACCGTACACTGCTAGCCTACCGGTTCTGATCAGATCATGCTTCTTTCCCTTCTTCTCGACAAACTGTTGCGCGATCGTGTCTCCTGTGGCGAAGAGGACGGATGCAGATGCGCACTGCCTAGGAAAGGTGGAAGACGTAGCGTTGATGAATCTCATAAAAGACATTTTGGGCGGTCTTGAGCTGAAGGGGGCCGAGGGAGTGGTGGGTAAAGTGAGTAGAGGGAGGAGAGCTGAAAGCTGATGAAAGCTTGACGGATTGCCTTGTCTGTGCGCGCTGGCTATGGCAGGCTGTGATGGAGTGGAGGAGAAGAGGGAAGGTGGGTGGAGGTAGGGCAAAGATGTTACCGGGCGGCGATGGTGGATGGGAGCGTGCTGATGATGATCGCCAGATTCGCTGTACAACACAGCTCATCACTCGCTCGTGACTGGCTCCTCTGACTGCTGCTTCGTCGAGTCAAAACAAATTTGCACCAGACTCACAGCTGTAGCACTCGTCACGACCGATGCTGCTGCTGCTGCTGCTGCTGACGATGCGGTAAGAACAAAGATCAACGTCTGGCATGCGCGGGCTGAAGGCCGTGCGTGCGTGCATGCTGCATGCACCGCGTACCTTGTCCCTATACTGTACTCCATCAGCAGCACGACAATAATAATATACCGTATACCGGTACCGTACCGTACAGTAGCTGCAGCTACGCGCCGCTCGGTGTGCGCGCGCAGCCATGCAACAATCCGCGCGTGCTGTATGAACGGATGAAGCATCGATCGACCAGACGTCCCTCATGCTCGCTCTTCTTCCCGCCGTTGCTGCGAGGTGCTGCTCCGGCTGCTGCCCCGACCAGCCACCGACATGCAGAATCGTAAATCTTGACTGCTCACTTGACGCAAAAGCTGATGCGCATGCATGAGCCCTGCGTCGGCGTCTCGAGCATGCAGCTGCAAGAGATTCAGTTCTCATCTGTCACGTGCGCGCCTGCGTGCCGCCCGATCGAGCACCTGCATGGCAACGTGTTTGGCACCTCTTTTCTTCACGGCTCCTCATTCTCGTTGCTACTTCCATTCCTACGCTGAGAATCACCAGTCGTCGATGGTTCGGTCTTGCACAAATTCTCAGAGGCTGCCTTTAGCTCAGATACGTCATCCCGAATTGGCAAAGCAGTCAAAGTATGCTGTGGGCTAAAGGATCTCAACGACGATGCGAAGAACACGTCTTCCGAGATGCCCAGCCATCCTTCGGTTATTCGGAGGTCACTTTGACAAAGCGCTTGACGAGTGATGCCGGTTGCGATGTCCGCGGCTAATTACTCCTTTTGATGCTCACCCAACAGCTTGTAGTCCGGGTCCCACGTATACATAGCACGGTCGGATCTCTTGCCTACTTTGACGTACAGCAACTAGCAACGTTGCAATCGTGGCATCGTGTGTCAAGTTTGCACAATTGCGGAAGCGCGAAAGATCTTTGGCCGATCAAACTTACTTGAGCTCGGTGGTTGTGGATCTGATTGTGCCAGTACACTTTTGGCGACTTGACTCGTCTTGCTTCAGCGTAGACGTGCTCGATCAAGGCTCGACCCGCACCTCCGTTGCGAATGCTCGGATCCACGAAGAGATCCTGAAGGCTGTTACACAGAGCAGAGGCATCCAGGTCGATGAACATGAAAGCGCATTGGCGGGCCGCAGAGAGGTTCTTGACTCACTATACCACATCTTCGACTACAAGCACGTGATTGATCATGCGAAAAGTCAGGTCAACATCGTGAGACGGAACTGTGACAGACGTTATCCAAGGACTGGCACCCCCCGAGATTGCGCTTGGCTTGTTGCCGGTCACTCACTGCTGGAAGTGCTACGGTGGGGCATCGAGGTGGTAAAGCCGAGTACATGTCCCTCTGCGCTAACCGCTACCGCAGCTTGCACCACATCATCCGGGTCCAGGAAGCGGGCAAATGTAGTCTTGGTGACCTTCTCTGCGATCTCGCGCTCGCTGCAGATGTGATAGGGAGGAGGAGTGAGCAAAATTATCGACAAGAGGGGACTCTACCGTGGTGTGTAAAGCCCGCAATCACTCTGAATTGCATTAGCTCACTAGAAAGCATTGTAACCCGCCCAAAGGCTTCTCCACCTTGCCTCATCGCCAGATTCGATGGGCCGGGTAGTTAGGGTGCCACGTTGCTGCGACATTTGATCAATTTGCTTCGTCCTCGAGCTCGAGATGCCAGCGAGTAAGGCGAACAAAAGGATGTGGTGCTCGACTGAATGCAGCTTCAGTCTTGCAGCTGTAGAAGAGAAGCGAGGCAAATAGCGGAGAAAGCCATCGTTGACGGAGTGATCAATCATCATCCTGCGGTTCGAGTCACGCCGTCGCTGGCATGCAGCAACAGGTCTTGTACGAGAACATTCTAGTCGCATCCGCTCACGTCCATGACCAAGTCTACATCGAGATTGGAATGAGCGGAGTTTGTACAAAAAAAAAAGTACACGCCAAGAGGATGTTTATAATGTCCAGAATACTGAGGCGAAGCCAATTGAGACACGCCGCGGTCTCAAGCAAGCAGCTTTCGGGCGTTCGGGGAGGCAAGCTGCGCACGGCAGTGGTAAAGCTGGCCTGGTCTTTCTTTCAACGTAGTTCTTCCTTCAACCCTTTGGGGCTGACCAGAAGCTGGCGTCCAAGGTCATGTCATCTAAGCGTTTAGCTTTCGTTCTGGTGAGACCACGGGGACGTCGCAGTGATGCGTGGCTCTGCTCGTCGCGCGTCGGCGCGATTCTCTTGCGCGTGCTCTTCAAAATCGGCGCATCCTTCTGTTCGACTTCGTCCTTGTCGCTGCTGTCGACCTTAAAAGCTTTGAATCTATCAGTCGACCAATCCTGATGTTCGTATACTTGTCTTTCGCCCGCATTGCGGATGTAGCTATCCATTTCTCCTTCATCGAAGAGCAGGGCATCAACACTTTCCTCGTCTAGGCTTTGAAGTGCTGTCAAAGTCAAGAGGGATTGTGGAAGGGCCGTACGCCGAGCAGATGGCGTGGTTGTGCCAGTCTCGCGGTCAGAGCTTTCAAGCGCTGCCAAGGCGTTTTTCAGCTTGCAGATGTTTGTGCAAGTGCTAGAATCCGTGTGCAACTTCAATGATGCAGATCGCTGCGGGCTGCTAATCAGGCTGGCTTGTCCTTTCGAATCAAGCAACAGTGCGGCGCGACTGCCTGTCGAAATCGAGCGGGTCTCGTAGCTTTTCCGTGCGCCTTCGCTGCCCGGAACAGCTCCAGGGGCTGCCTGAGCTTCCAAGACATCTGGGGGAGGTGGATCGACCTGGGCCTCGTCTGCTTCTCCCCCGTTCCAAACGTCCTTCTCCCTGCCAGACAGCGGCATTCCGCATAAGGCCACGTCGCTGACGATGTCTGAGAGACTCGACTGTGACGCTGTACTCTCGACCATTTCGCGAAAGTCGACGACATCACCAAGGTAAGCGGCGAAAGCTCGACGAGATCCTGCTTCATCGTGTGCAGCGTGTCGTTTTCTGCGTGCTGGCTTAGTTGTTTGAGGTGCGGTCGCGCGGGCGCCGGCGTTGCTTCTCCACCTGCAGGCATCGATCGCGGCGCTCGACCACCCTTCGTTGTACCAGGGTAGCTGCACTGCCAAGGGTGAGACGAGCTGAATGATGGCGCGATAATGGGCTTTGACGCCATCGTGTCGCGCTCCAGCACCCTGCAAAGCGTGGATTGCACGCAAAAGATCGGGGCTTTGCTCACCAACTCCAGGTGCCGGCGAGCTGTCTTCGGTGAGGTGGTACAGAGAAATAAGCGAATTGAGTGGTGAGACGGTACGGAGCGCGCCCTCTGTGGCGGCTATGAAAACAGCATAAGCAAAGAGACCTTTGTTCCGCACGGGCACACTGAAAGCAGGCTCGTCGATGAACGCTACTAGCAAGCGATGCGCAAGAGTGATGACCGTATTCCACGCCTTCTTTCGATGGAGGGCACGCAGATACTCTACGGCTTGTCGAGACTTTTCTGTAAATTCGTTCAGACCAACTTCGAGTCGGGTCACTTGCTCGAGAACATGCACGTAGTGCTGGACACGAGGGATTACGTACGACAATTTGAACCCTCGCAGTACCGCGTGTCCCGCTAGAAGCAGGCGTACTCGCTTTGCCGCTCCCGATGTGGATATCCCTGTGCTGTGGATGATTTCGCCTAAGGTCTCAGCCGAGTAAAAGCGACCACGAAGAGCCAAAACAAGCTGAGTGAGCACAGCTGCCACTGCGCTGCTCTGCGTGCCCCAAATCAGTCGCTCGCCGGAGCGTTCCTCCCTGAGAACATGCGCAGAGCTTTCCGCTCGTGCGCCAGTCTTACGAAGCTGGTCGGACGACGTCCTGGAGCGGCACAGATCGAAAAGGGCCATCACTTCGTCTGCATAGCGGGACAGTGCTGGATCGATGCCCTCCAAGGTTCCCAAGACCTGCTTTGCAAGCTCAGCTCGCTGTCTAAAGTCTCGCTGATGCTTTCTTTCCTCCGGGCTTGTAGTGGCTGTTCCGGCCACGTGATGCCCTCTGCGCCCTACGCGAAAAGTCGAGGGTACGGCGTGTGTTCGGCTCGTGCTCAAGCGAACGCCGGTGCCGTACTGGTCCACCTCATCGAAGCTCGGCTGATAGGAGAAGTCGGCTTCAAAAACGTGGCCGCAGGCAACGCAGATGTCGCTGAAGCTCGCCGCGACCAACTCTCGCCCGTCCTGTGAGCCGCAAGCGGGACATGCAAGCGAACTCCCCTCCATACCTTGGGTTCCAGGAAGGTGGGAGCGAGTGCACTGACGCTGCACTTGGGAGGCTGCCATATGATGAGCTTGATCAGGTCGACGAGGTCTCTCCGCAGTCGCGATTGCTAGACAGCTGGACTACTTGTCGAGGATCGCGTGCCAGGCGCAGGTCCTACGCTTGTCCTTCGCCGCCAGATGCGTAAGAAGCTGGTGTCGCGTCCATGTCGAGCGCTGCACATGCGCGGTCCAGCAACCCTGTATGCGACCAAGCTGTGGCGTGGAATTGCAGCCTTGTGCGGGGTGGGGTGAGAGCCAATCCTCCAGCAGCGTTAGTGAGTGCAGATCTCTGACAACACCATGGAAGCCCGTGGTCTTAGTTTCACGTGGATTCGAGTGGACAAGCTCTGTGCTTCCTTCTAGTGTGATTGACGAGCACACCAAATGCAGCAGCTATACGCAAGCCGTCAAAGCTTGTGAATGTGTACGACGCCTGCTGGCGAGAATCGGAAGTGGTCGAAGGAGAGGCAGTCGATCGAGGCTTCGCTGGCTGCAATGCACCTGGAAGCCAGCTTGCCGCGGCACTTTCAAGTTCGAAGACGAGCTTGAGATGGAGCGACAGGTGTGGAGTGTCGACCGTGTGAGGGTCACAACCCAAGTAAGGAATCACGTCAAAAATTGTGTCTTGAGTTCGAGTCTCATGAGTCCTAACACGGATGGACTTCGACTCATCAGCTGCTTCAGATGCATTTGGTCTGTGTCACGTGACATCTCCCGGCGGCCGATACGCAATTTAATTATTCTTGATTACCGTGGCGCAATGACGGATCACTATATATACTCAATTGACTCACCGACCAAGCTTCGACACCATCCTTGCCCACAGCTTCTAGAGCGCTCGATTTGCCTACTTTGACTCTTTCACACTGCATCACTCTTTCCCACGGCATCAACCGAGGGATGCGTCAAGATTGCGAACAATCACAGTCACAGCTCGCAAGTACATTTAGTGCATTGTAGAAGGGCGATCAAAGAAGCAAGAATCTGTGGGGCGAAGCCTGCGAGAGGCGCGGACTCAAAGAGGGTTGGCAGTGCGAGGAGCATTGGTGGTGTTGTCGAAATTATAAAGCTGCTCCTTCTCCACCTTTTGTCTGAAAATGTATTTTTTGGCGAAGTAGGGAATCTGTCGGATCTGGTACGCAGCATGCTTCTGCGTCGGAACGGCGAACACGCTGTCCAATTCTTCGAGCGACAGACCCTTCGTCTCGGGGCAGAACAAGAACACGAGAGCGAACAAGATCAAGTTCCAACCTCTGGAGAGGGGCAGGAAGAGGTAGGTATAACGAGCTCAAGGGCCTCAGCAAGCGAATGAGACCAGCTCCAAGGCGGACCGAAGCTGATGACTCACGCGTACCATCCGAATGCTCCCTGGGGCGTAAAGGCCTGCCTCAGCTTGAAGAAAGTCACTGCGAGGACCGCGTTGAAGAACCACAGAACTGGTTGTTCGAGGTTGAATTTAGTGTGCAGAAAGAAGATTTAGCACGAGATTGAGAGCTGGATGCGGGAGGCCGGGAACTAGGAGAATAGGAACTCACCGGCAGTCGCCTGAGACATTCCCAGCTCCCTGACACGAAGAGGGAATGCTTCTGCAGAGTAAGAGAAGGGCACCGGTCCCATCCCTGAGTGCGTTTTCCACACAGTGAGGATAGATCGATGGGCAGATTTGGGGACAAGCATTTGCGAAGACGGCAAGACGAAGGGTGATGAGTTCGAGCCACAAGGAAAGGCCTGTGCGAAAATAACTGTATCTGACTCCACTCACCGGGCGAATAAAACACGGCATAGAGATAAATTCCAGTGAGGACAATACCTGTACGGACTTGCTGTTCTTCAGCGAAGAAACTGAAGCCAGTCATGAGAAGCGCCAGACACATGGGAGGCGTGGTCGCGAGGACAAGGTTGCGGCGGCCAAAGGTGTCAATCGTCCAGATAGCGGGCCCAGCGAACACGAAATTCAGTATTCCGAAGCCGAAGGAGCCGAGCAGAGCATTGATGTCCGAGAAACCGGCGCCAGACAGGATGTTTGAGCTGAGGGTCGGTTGTTTTCTGCGTCAGCGAGTACACCAGACCGGCTGGTCCAAGTCCACATACCTGTAGTACGCGATCACGTTTACTCCGCAGAATTGCTGACCGAACATCAGAATTGTGGAAGCGTAGCTAGCACGGCGGTTGCGAGGGACGGTCCAGAGCTCAAGGAAACGGAATTTGCTCTGGGTATGCCGGACCGAGTTCTCCGCTTCGATGGTGACGTGCGCAAGGTACAAGTCACGGCAAGCTTGCAAGGGAGTGTTGCGAAGACGAAGGAAGCTCTTCATCGCCTGTGTATATCTGCCCTTCTTCATCAGCCAACGGGGAGACTCTGGCGAGGTGAAGACCTGAGCGGCTAGAATGATTGCCGGGAAGCAGGCGGAGGCCAGCATGATCCTCCAATTCAGACCTGTGATGCTCGGCGTTGTGTCCTTGACATGGTAGAAGGCAAGGTCCGAGACATAGCCGAGCATGATACCTGTACGATAGGACTCTTACATCAGCAACACGAGACGATATCTTGGGCTCGTATGAATCCGCTTCATCCGACTTACCAAATGCAGTCCAAGTCTGCCACTGCATTACAAGGGCTCCGCGAATCAGAGGAGGAGCGCACTCGGCAGCGTAAACAGGGACAGTGGCACTGTTGGGTCCGATGCCAAGTCCGAGCACCAGGCGAGCGACAAACAAATGTTGCCAACTGTTGGTGACGGCCGACCAGATACATGTCAAGCAGCAGATGATGGCCCCGAAGAAAATCGTACCGCGGCGCCCAAGGAAGTGCTGGTCCAGGTGGCAGGTATAGCTGGTAAGTCAGAGCGGCTAAAACGACAGGCCATGTATCAACTTACATTGAGGGGGTCAGTCAGCCAGCAGCCCAGAAAGGCGCAGGCCACGTAAGGTGCGGCTCCGATCAAGCCACGAAGCCAATTGTCGCGATCGGCATTGTCGTCGCCGATTCCAAATTGAGCGGGAAAGAATAGAAGCGCTCCGTTGATGACGGATTCATCCATGCCCTGCACAGCTGCAGCAACGGCACAGAGCACGACCAAGGCGTACAATTGGAATGGATGGCTCCATTTGTGGGTGACCTCCCTCCTAAGCACTTCGCGGTCGGCTTCGTCGAGCTCAGGGACCGCGTCGAAGGCGAAGGGGTCCTGTGCCACAAGGGCACCTTTCACCATAATGTCCGTGTACTCGTCGAGGCCATACCGCTGAGCGAACTCTTTGGCATCGAGCTTGATCTGCTCGCGCGGAATGCCTGCCAGCGGGTTGGCAATGCGAGCATCAACATTGTTGTTCACAAGCTGCTCGCCCAGCTTGCCGTCCCGGATGTGGGCATAGGCATCGGTATTGCTGGCAACCTTTTCTGAAGCATTTTCAGACCCTGAGCGAATCGCCTCGTTGGTGTCGTAAATCGTGTGCGAGGCGGCGTCCCCGTCAGAGGCGCCTTTCTTTTCGTTCAGGTCAGCCATGCTGATGGCGAGTCGGTCGAATCAAAGAAAATGAAGGTAAGTCGAAGGATCAAGTCGAATGTCGGGGAGAGAGCGTGGTGGAGGCGAAACAGCCCGGGAAAGACGCCTTGCCAAAGGGTTGGTGCATGGGGAACCGCGGTGAATGCTCCTGCTCTTGAGGTATATATACCCGTCACTGGGGCGAGCACGCCGTCATACAATCGCCGCTCCTCTCCTGCTTCTTTTTCTCGCGCAAAAGTGCTGCAATTCCAGGCGGGCAAACGCTTCCTCTAAGCAAGACCCGTGTGCGTAAAGCTTTGTGCCTGCGTCTTCTGTGTCTGCTTACGCAGAGGAGCACAGTTCATGGGGAGGAGATGGATGAGACACCCTTCGGAGCAGATGTATTGCCCGAATGTAGGAGCCATGCAAAGGAGGCTAGTCGGATGTATGCTCGACCTCAACTCAAACGAATCCAGCAGCAGCGGGCAACGCGTCTCTTTGCGGTCGGAGCCAAAATCCTTAGCGTAATTTGACCCAGCATTCATGATTTTGTAGCGCAGACTCATGAGTCGTGACTCAGGGGGGGGGGGCAGGTCCGAAGGCCTGCACGAAACGAGCCTTTAGGAGGGATCCGCCCAGCATTTTTGACTTCACGCAACCCCCCCCCCCAAATCCACCGGGGCCCTCTCAGCTCTTCTTCCTTTCTCCTCGCGAACACCCGCAACAACTCCTGACCCCCCTCGGCATCCGCATGAGAGCTGGACTGCAGTAGTTGAGAAGTGCGAAACTACGAATTGTGGTGCCCCGCTCTGCATGATAGCAGCGTTACGTCTTGATTGAAGGCAGCCTCGCCCTTCCCAAAGACTTGCCCCACCTGTCTCACCATGCAGTCATGTACCACACCCGCGGGGATTCCCATAGCTGTGATGTGGTACCCTGGCCACAAGAACGCTGATCAGCATTTGGTGTGATTCGGCAGGCACTCGATCGCAAACGCCGACGTGCATCTGCTGCTGCTGAGCAACCCCACACCATCATCAAAAGTCCTGATCGCGCGATGGACCAGGATCTCACGTCTCACAACAAATGTGCAGGCATTGCTGCTCACGGTGTCTTAACGTTGTGCGAATTGATATTGAAAGGGAGCGTGAATACGACCGGCGCCTGGCTTGCGTCAAGGGCCGCGGCGACACTCGCATGCAGCTAGCTAATTGTGTCTGCCCTTGGCCACAGCAGCGGAGGCTGTTTCTGTTGCGCCGCCAAAACCGCCGCTTCACCTTGCAACTCCGCCTGTTTCGCCGACATGTGCCGCCCGCCCGCCCCCGCGGCATTTGATCACCTTGATCGTGCACGAACATGCGTGCGCGCGAGACTCTGATGATATACCCATCAAGGGTGTCGCTGCCATCAAGTCCCGCGCGACTTCTGATGCTCTCGCATGCTGCATGGCGGACACTCGTCGCTCTGACACTCGCACTGCATCATGCATCATGCGGAGTTGCATTCGAACAGTCGAGTACAGTACCAGCACGGATGAAGGGCTCATCATGAACGCCGGCAGCCAGGAAGTTTCGCAGATCGAATTTCTTGGCTCTTGCCGGCGGTGCCGCGACGGGTCTCGCGATGCGGGCATGCATGCTTGAGAGCTAAGAGGTCAAGATCATTCTCGAGCTCATTCACGACTCAAAGTGATCGAAGCGTGAACTCTCGAAAATTCAAGTCTTACGTACGAGCCCCAGCCAGATCATACTTACTATTAGCAGACCACCCAGCAAAGAGAATACCATAGACCCCAGATCACTTCATGTTTGACGTGTCTCCGCGACGTAGTTGGGCGCGGCGAGGTACGACGAGATGCGAATTTCTTCGGCTAGCAAAATCGAGGTGCGGCAGTGTTGCAAGCAAGCAAGACGAACGCTCACTCACGATGCTACTCGTTCAAGCATTTCTGTGGCACAGCGTCAATCGTAGCAGGCAGGATGCGGGAGGGTGGAATACAGCACGGTGGGAAGCGAATGCGATGGCACAATGGCAGGTCCTGTTCGCGAGATGGATAGAGGGCAGCGCCGTAGAAGCCTGGGTCTGCTTGATGAAGGTCTGACCTTGCCTAGTGCGCGATGTTCCAAACACTGCGCGCCGTAACGCCACGCTTCCAAGCCCCATCGGTGCGATCAAATTGGACAACGAACTTGACTCGACGTGAAGACCCAGGGGTCAGCCAGAACAAATTTGAGGCTTTAGGCGCTGAGTCCGGTCCCAAGTCTTCCGTAAAGTATCCTACGACACCCTCAGGATGCTCCAGCCAGACCCAGGGCGCCGCTCCCTTGGCGTCCTCTGGAGAGGATATCATAAAAGCGGCATCCTCATCGGTGGCTTGCACCTGCATCTTGGGGTCAGCAAGAGGTGCCTTTTGAAGTGTGCCCGGCGGTGTCCAGAAAGTCTCGGAACGGCCATGTTGGTCCGAAACAAGGGTGAGATGAAGCCAAGCCGGTACGCTTGTATTGCCCTCAGCTCCAATTATCGTCTGCGGGATCGTCTCGTTCAGCTGCAAAGCACTGCCATTGATGGCAAGGATGTGCACCTCCTTGGACACCGGCGCGACGATTGGGGAGCCATCCCAATCATACCACGTCCAATTGGCGGTGACATGCTGTTGCTCGCTGCTGTCAGACTGAAGATGACAGCGTCAAGTCACTTGGCCACTTCAGCGCCAAGCGCGCCCACACTCTTGCCACTTACCAGAGCCCACAGGTCGAGCGTCTTTGCGCTCGCATTCCACAGGGCGAATGGGACGACGCGATCTGCCGTTCTCGCTGCCAGGTAGTGCATGGGCTGAGCTCGAAGCTGAATCAGCCAGCAGTACACCGGAAGTCAGTCATGACACGGGCTGAGACTTACTTTCCAACGACCACCAAATTCCTTTGACGACCAGCTAGCGCCTGGCCACACGTCGTTGCCTTGCCAAAAGATGGCGCCAAAATTGTTCTCGGGTCTCGCAGCGCCTTGCCTGTAATAAAGTAGTTGCTGAGCGGTGTAGTCCGCTTGCATGATCTGGGTAGAGTATGCCCACTTGTCGAAGAGCTCGCGAGAGCCGGTGTCGCCATTCATGATGGAGGTTCCGTTGTTGTGCACTGTAGGAGGCGGAAGGTATAGATCGACGCTGTGCGTCATCTCCCCATGACCATCATCAGCTGGCCAGGGATACGACAGATTACCGGCTGGCGTGTGCTTGGTGTGTACTCTGACTGCCGTAGAGTTGAGCGCGAAGTCCTCCAACCTGGGTAGGACGCGATCTAAGGGCGTGCGCGGTGTCAGCAATAGCGCAATACGTGCTTGGAGCTCGACTAGGCTCACCGTAGGCATGAACAGAGGCCAAGGCATGGATGCCAAATTCCACGATGAATCGGGCGTGCTTTGAGATGGCGCCGAAGAGGCTGACGTTGTAATTTTGCGTCCAATCGTAGTAGTACCATTCCAGCGAGCCAGCTGCTAGTCCATTGTCGGGCAGCGGAATGTTCAGCAACCTCTTGGCAAGTGGACCAGCCGCATAATTGGGCACGTAAGGATTGAGCGATTTGTAGCCCAGAGTCGATGACGAGGGACTGTAGCTGATGGAGCGGGTGTTCGCGTAGATGGCTTCGCGCACATCGACATCGAAAAAGCGGTCGTACTGCTGCTCGTAGGCTGTTCCGTTGGGCAGTTTTTTGGGTGCAAACAGCCGCAGTAGCTCGCCTGGAAAAGATGGAGCCAGGGCGATGAGTCTGCAGCCGTATTTGGCGCGCATGTAAACCCCTCTACGCACCTTCGTTGTTGCCGACCTGTGTGCGGCACACATGCAAGGATACACGAATCAATTAGGAACAAGATGAAAACTTCCAACCGGGTCACTCACCCAGATAGCGTTGCTCGGATGCTGCGAGATGCGCCTGACATTCTCAGCGAGCTCGATCTTGACATTGTCAGCAAAGACCGGGTAGCTAGGGTACAGCGAAGATGCAAAAAGAGCTTCGGACCACACCAACATTCCGGCTGCGTCTGCAAGATCGTAGAACTGCGTCGACTGGTAGGAGCCACCTCCCCAAATTCTCAGCAGGTTCTGATTTGCAGCTACGGCGCTATCGATTTGGTCCTTCAGAACAGATGTGGAGATGCGCGGGTAGAAAACATCGAAAGGAGTGACCTTGTTGTCGACACCCACCAAGACGTCAGCCGAGATGAAGGCAGTGATGCGGACTGAGAAGTAACTCACAGAACCGCCCTGAATGTAATTCGGCTTGCCATTGACCACGAACCTGAAGTACGTGCCGGGCAGCACGCCAGCAGCCGTATCTTGAGGTGACACGGGACTCTGATCCAACCAAACCGTGCGAAACCCAGTCTTTTTCGTCCATCGCGTGGCTTCGGCGTTGCTCGAAGCGCCGACGGGTCGAAGCTCAAAGTCGACATCGTACAATTTTGGCTGTCCCAGCTTGTACGGCCACCAGAGAGCGGGAGCAGAGGCTCCGTCCGAGGGCACCTCGAAGGCGGCCCATCTGCCGACATTGTCGCCAACGCTGAGCGCGGCGCTTATGTTGGACGCGTCAAGCTTTAACGCGAGCTCGGGAATCGCAAGTCGCACAGAGGCGCTGCCATTGGTCGTGCTCCAAAGGCCCAGAGTCACATTGAGAATCCAGGGGGCCGTTTCGTCCGGCGGCAGATTGTTGGCTTGACCTTTGCGATACACCTCGATGCCAGATTCATAAACGAACATTTCTTTTGGCGCAGTGCCGTTCAAGTGCTGTCTAGTCTGCAGTGCAATTTCGCTACGCTGCCCGTCGTTCGTCGAATCTTGTGCCTGAGCGGCGCCCAGACCGATGAGGTAGGCAGGCTTGTGCGGGCCAGCGGGAACATATGCTGGGCCCCAATCCCATCTAGCAAGCAGTCACAACGTGTGAAAGCGTTTAGCAGGCATGCGACCAAAAGGACTGCCTAACGCTTTCCAACACTCACCCCAAGTCAGAACTTTGCTTTCGCACAAAGATTCGATTTGGATACACGTTGTTGGTCGTGATGCTCGGGAAGCCCATAGTCTGTGTGTTTGGGAAGAACGGTTCCTTGCTGCTCTCGTTCTTTGCGTACTCCAGAGCGGAGTCGAAGGCTAGAGTGATGTTTGCAGCCGCGGGATCGACGCCTCGAAGCGCATCCGTCACATCGAAACGCCAGCTCCTAAATTGGTTGTTTGTTGAGCTGATGGATTTGTTTCCGATGCTGACGCGACAGATGGTGTCGAGACCTTGGAAATACAAGATCTGCCTTGCGTACTTTTGAAGGGAAGGCAGCAAAGGGGCCAGGGATGCCGTGTAAGTCCAGGTGGGCTCTTCGCCGACCCACCTTGTTGTGCCTTCATTAAGGCCGACTACATAGAACAGAGACAAAGGTTGGACCAAACTTTTGCGTGAGTAAGCATTGCAGCATCATGGCACCCAGTTTGGACAGCGGGTCCTCACCATTGGGGTCATCGATGATTCCGGCTCGCAGCAGCTCGAGATGTGCTTGACTGGGAAAAAGCGCGGGGACGGATATGCTGCCGTTGGTGTTCGTGAGCCACCAGCTGAGCTCGATCTCTGCTTTGCTCTCCTCTCCAGCAGTTCGAGATTCCTTTTCGCTTCTAGATACCGGCTTGGGGTCTCGTGCTATGAAAGCCGGGAGAGGCAGCTCTTGAGCATGGGTTTGCCTGGTGGACAAGCCAAAGACGCCTTCAGGTGCTGAGCTCAGATCCACCTCTTGGCCTGCGTATGTGGTTGGGGAACGGCGCTGCTCATGAGTTTGAGCCCGCACAGCAAAAGTTGTACTGGCCGCCAGAGCCAACAAGAAGGCGACTCGGCTTCTCAATGGAGAGATCATCATGTTCGTTGCCGTGCTGGGAGGGCGAAGCTGGGCTTCATGCGTGGAAGCTGTGTGGGACGGTCAGCTGCTTGCTGCGCTTCGCCGCGACGTTGACGACCTTTGTACAACGTCGAGCGTACCCCGCGATCGGGCCTCTTTATACGACGCACGATGCGTCAATCCCCGCACACACGCTCGAACCCGAGCATCCAACACCCACGTCATCTTCCTCTCATGCTGCTGCAAGGCCTGAAGCTAAAGACGCATTGAGTGGAGTATGGTGGATGTGGGCGAACCCCTACACGAGCCGGGGCCATCACTCGCGAGGTCTGAGCTCACTGCTGCAGCTCCGTCGGGTCTGCAGCGGTCATTTTGACGTGCGGGATCGATCAACAAACGTCCATCGGGACATCCGCGGGCACTAATTGTTTCAATGATAAAGCAGCAAGAAGTGCAGGCGTTTTAGCCCTTGAAGCTCCATCGCGGGACAGCCACATCGCAGTCACAGATCCGCAATCATAAATCTTCAATGAAGAAACTTGAATCTGAGTGGTCAACTGCTGCTGTGAATATGGTCAAATTTACATATTTCTAGCATGGCGTACTATTTGAACTCAAATTTCAATCATGAGTTGGATGCACGTCGCAGGGGCGCATGAAGTCAGTTCATTTGCCGGCCGCACGTTGGCGTCGCAAGCACATGGTGCTCCGCATCGGCACGGAGACAAGCAACGCGAAGGAGGCTGGCTGGCTTGCTTCGACTCCCGCCCACAACATCGGCAGCTGTAGCTCTCGCCCCAGAAATTAACGATCGGCATCCAAAATCATGCTGACACGCAGAATGGCTGACCATGAACAGCGACAGCTCTCTTCAGCTTAGCTGAGAGTGGAGGATGGGCATCAATCCAGCAACTTCTTAGCGCCATCCGACCTCGTGGTCTGCTCCAGTCTGGGACGTCATACAAGCGTCACTCATTGCAGGCCCATTGGTGTACACCTGATGCCGAATCCGTCATACGAGTCCCAGATGCTGAACGCCAGCCCTGCCGGCTCTGCCGACCAAGTCATCAGGCCGCCGGTCAGTCCATTGTTACGACTTCCGACGGAGCTGCAGATAGAAATTGGTCGCCATTTGCCTCTCGCGTCACACTTGATCTACCACTTTCAAGTGTGTCGCGCCTTGCGCATGCTGATGACACGACCTGGTCTCATCTTTACAGGAGGCCATGGCTACTGGTCTCTGACCGAATGGCTGGTAGCCGCCTCTGAGCTGCAACAGATCTTCGCACACCGGGTGGGGCCGGTGAAAGAGGCAGGCGACCAGTTGCCTTTGCCCTCACAGAGTCCACTGGGGGGCAAGGAGTACAAGGTCGCTGTGACCACAACCTCTGAAGGCGACAGGCACAGCGATCTTGCCACCTTGGCTCTCGACTTTCTAGGCCTGACTCGTGGTATACGATCAAAGGATAGATGCGCCGTCGAAGCATGTCGTGCACCATTATCGATCCAGACTCTGCCTCAACCAGCGAGACCGATTCGAGCCCTAAGCTTCGTCGGATCTCGCGGAGTCACCGGCGAAGTTGTATCCAGTCTACTAACCTCTCCGCTTCTGTCATGCGTAAGAACTGTCCTCAAGACAGACCATCACGATATTGACAGCTCATCATGTAAGTGTGGGCCAAAGTCCGTCTGCTACTTCGCGTGTTGTTGCTGACGCGGTCCAATGCTCGAGCCGTCATCAAGTCCTATACGCATGCAGTCCGTGGTATCAACGTCGTGTGCCTACTGCTCTTTTGGCAAGCACGATATCAGATGACGAATTCCGCTTTGCATTGGGTGCGCCGATGGTGGATGCGTCTCGAGTCGTCGGGTTATCGTCAAAGGCAAGGAGGATCTTTGGCAAGCTTGGGCGAGATACACGCCCTAGGGACCGTCTTGAGCGGCTGTCTCGTACTCTCTGTACGCGAGATAGTCGCGACGCTCTCCAGCTTGACGGCCTAGATCAATTCCCCGAACGAAGCCGAGCCCGCTTGTCGCTCGACATATGTAATCGCACGCCGCAAAGCGTGTACGCGGTCAAGACTCAGGCCGTGGTGGAGATGGGAAGCGAGGCACCAAGCTGGATGCACATCAAGGGCCGTGGGTTGCAAGCAGGATACTCTGCCCTTTGTTTTGCGGCAGAACACGTCTACTGGGCTGCTCAAAGACGCTGCGAGTCGGATGAGCGCCCCGAAGCGTGGAAATCTTTCGAGCTTACGGAGGAGATCGAACAGGAGCTTTTGCAGGAGCTCGACGGACCGCTTCACGTCATTCTGCACGGATCTGAGGATGAACAAGGGGCGCTAGACTTGGAAAAGGCCCTACTGTACAGCAAGATTCGTTGCGTCCACTGCCATCGACCCATCATCTGGGAATGAACATCCCTGCTCAGTGCAGGTCACTACGCAATGCCTTTCTACCCATATCCACTGAACACAATGATGTGATATTCGCATCCCCGAGCCACACGCTCCTCTATATCAAATCAAGACGTCACGCCTTCCAATCGCTACTCTCCTCGAGCGACAAAAGACTAGTGAGCGTTTCCTTGAGTGTGGTGGACCAGTTCTTGAATTCGATGCCGAGCTCCTTTTGCGCGAGCGAGGTGTCCAGCGTTGCATATTTGCCCTCCAACTGAGACGGGTCCGTGATTGCCACCGATTCCCAGCCTTTAGGCAACCTCGACTTGAGTTCTGGGTGATCTTCTGCGATTTGTCCAACCGCAAGCTCCCAAGTGTACGGCTCGGCTGGTGAAGGGGATGGTGTATGCGCTATCAGCGAGCCTGTCGAGCACCGAGCTGCTTGTGCTGCACTCACGTCCCGATAGCAGGTAGCGGCGCGTCTTGGGCGGCGAGGGGATCGCAAAGTACGCAACGTGGGCCTGAGCGACATCTTGTGCGTTGCAGAACAAAGGTAGACGGTTCTCCGGCATCGCCTCGGCTCCACTGATGAGCTGTACGGTGGCAAATAACCAGACAAAGCATTCTCTCATCAGTCAATGCGGCCAATTACATCAGAACGACTGCGCATGACGCCAGCGGACTCACCCCGTAGACGGTCTTGCTGGACGTGTTTAGGTTGGATGCGTTCACGCCTGGCTGAAGCGTTGCCCCGTAGACTGAAAAGCAGAAGACTGGGCGTCAATCTCAATTTTTTAAGTTTGGAGTCGGTTAGTCACTCACTCATGGGCGGGTTAAAGGCCGCAGCGGTGAAGTCGGGCTTCTCCTTCTGCACAAAATCGTAAAGAGCTTGCTCCGCCTGCACCAGGTCGGTGAGCATTAGATTGATGAGTCTTGGAAACATCTGCACCAGGAGCGTATCCGACTGCGCACTCACAAGCTTCTTGCTTACAGAATAGCTGAAGGCTCCCGCCCCTCCCATTTTGACAGCGTCGTCGAACGTGGAGGGATTCCAGTCTTCAGCAGTGTAAGTGTATCCCGGGCGATTTGCGCCTCCCTTGGAGCTGAACGTCAGAGAAGGCAAAGTGCATCAGCGTACAACACAGCCACCCATTCATAGCGAGCCCACTGACAAATCTGTTACGGCGGCAAAGGAGCTGGTCACCGCGACTCGTTCGACCGTTGGGGATTTGGCTGCATACCGCAGCAGGTTGAGAGTGCCCTCGATGGCAGGCTTCAACAAGTCCCTCTCGGCGTCTTCCACATTCTGATGATGCAAAGAGGGGCAGGGAGCACGCAAGTCGCGTGAGCATGTATGCCGGTGTGGGCGCACAATTAGAAGCGCTCACCAGCTGATAAGGACTGGCGACGTGGGCGACGTACTTGACGTCTTTGAGCGCTTCGGTCAAGTCGCTGGTAGCTGTATCCTTCACCTCGACGAGCTCCACCCGCTCTCGCTGAGCAGGCGTGAGACGCGCAAGGAGCGCTTCCTTCTTGGATGCTGAGCGCAAAGTCCCTCGCACGCGATACTGCTGGGGCGCAATGAGCGCGGCGTCGAGCACATGAGCAGAAAGGAAGCCGGTGATACCGGTGATGAGGACGAGATCGCCAGTCATGATGAAAAGTGCAGTTGTGATGTGAGAGAGAAGGTGTGCTGTGGTGTGCTGTGGTGTGCTGTGGTGAAGGATCAAGACTCGTGACCCTCGAATTCGAGGAATGCGCAAGCTTCATCGGAAGTTTATCAAGAGTCGACACACGCATTCTTCAGTCATGCAAGCCATGCGGTTCGCGAAGCATGCGATTCACCATTCGATCGTGATTCTGATGACTGACACGGCTGCCATAGCGGCACAGCAGCTACATGTACAGTAGGCAACCACAGAATTTGAAAGGCCGCCTACGCGCACGACGTGCGAGTTAGGCTGCTGATCAACCTCCGCGGATCTCCGGCTTCACTTGCGTCAATGAAGACGCGGAGGTGTGATGGGAGACCCCTAAACCCACGCGCACCTCTCTCTCTCTCTGTGCCCTGGAAGGCTGAACAATCCCCCCGCTCTTGATGGTGCTTTGTTGATTGCAAGTCGCCACCGCGCTCAACCTTGGTCTTGACGCTCGAATCTACGCCTGTATGAGTCTCGGCTGGGAGTTCATGTCGGCTTCATTTCCAATCATCTCAGTGCTCCGACCACCATGGCTTCCATCCCCCGCCACTCTCTGAGGTACGAAGAATTCGCCGTCTCTGACATGGACACAGACACCTTGACATCGAGATTTCGCCTTAGCCCTTCCGCAGAAGCTGAGGCTGAGGATCAAGCTCCGCTCAAGGATCACAACCGTGATGACCATGCTGCTCGCTGTAGGGCGACCACTAGCGCTTTGGCGCTGGATGAGGACGAATTTGACATTGAGAAGGAGAAGCCGCCCTGGGTCAGCGGGTCAGGCCAGCCTCGTGAAGCGGAGCGCCGACAAAAGTACTACGCCAGCGAGACTTACTCGCCCAATGCCTATCCGCCGCACCCAACCGCTCAGGGGCGGCACAGCGACAGGGAGCAGTGGAGCTACGGAGGGGCTGGCAATTATTCGCCAGGCCGAGCACCTGTGCACGGCAGCAAGTTGGACGTCGAGAATGATGCTGGTGCAAAAGCCAAGATTGAGGGAGGCTGGCGCTTTCGAATGCCATGGCATGGCAAGGGCTATGCAGCTCCGCCTGGTGACGACTTCAAGGATGACAGCAGCGGCTCACGGTCGGATGGGGTGAGGAGCGTGAATGCGAACCTCGAAGCGTGATGGTAGCCCGCGCCCAAGCTCACACGTATGCTCGCCTTTTCCTCCATCTTTGCTGCTGCGATTCCTAACTGAAGCGTCTGGTTGCGCGTCTGGCATCGCACTTGGGCAAGATAGGCTTCACCTTGCTGATCACTGCCTTGCTCTGGATACCTGGACTGGTCGCTCTCCTCATATATGGCGCGAGACCATCGAACGGCTTCGCGCAACCGCAAGTGTGGAGCGTCGGCATATTTTGGTGGAGCATCTGGCTGTCTTGCTCCTTCTTGGCTACATTCGTATGCCACGTCGTAGCCAGCATCGTGCCGCGCTTCTTCTTGAGCTTGCTTGGCGGTGTTCAAGCGATCAAGACCCCTGCAGCATACTTGCTCGCCGTCAAGAGGTAAGTGCGAGCACATCGGGTCAGGCGATGACAGTGATACCCCGGCCTCACGCTTGGCTCTTTGACCACACAGGTATGCTGCAGCGTTCCTTTGGACGCTCTTCGTGAGTCCATAAGCCGCACCTTGTTGCATTTGCTCTCGGCCCTGTTCTAATTGGGCGCTATCTCCCTCTCAGGTCTGGATTGCTTGGCTGGTCATCATAGTCACCCATTTCAACGACCCTTCACAAAAGTCCGTGATCCAGCAGGGAGAGACAGCAGCCGAGTCGAACTCGTCAGACGTCAGCAGTACTGCCAACCTCATCGTCACCATCGGCCGTTTCTTCTTTGGCCTCGCTCTGTGCAGTGCCATTCTACTGGTGGAAAAGTTTGCAGTGCAATGGTGAGCATTCGGAAGAATTTCTTTTCTCACCTGTATCTCCGCGCTGACTTCCGAGACCTTCATTCAGGATCGCGTATCGTTTCCACCGCGTGCAATACGAGTTCCGTATTTCAGTAGAATCTCAGCATGTCGACGTTCTCGCCGCGCTATATGCCAAAGCGCGGCCTGACTATCCGGGTCTGACGCTCAAAGCTGAGCGCGCTTACTCCGGTGATTCGTTGGGTTCTGGTGCGGTGCCAGAGCTGGCGGCCTTCGGCACAGCAAGCAGCAGGGTGAAGAGCCAAAGGATGCGGGGTACAGGCCCAAGCGCTAGCATTCTTGGCACGGCTGCTTCCTCAATGAACCCAAGTGTTATGCTTCCCTTTGGTCCAAGAGCTATTGTTCTGAGATCACTGGACTCCGAAAGCGAGACAAGGAAGCTGGCGAAGCGCATATATGCAACCTTTGCTTCGAAGTCTGCTAGCGGCGACGCATCGTCAATTGGCTTGGAAGACATCGCGGATTGCTTTCCAAATGCTCACAGAGCTACTCAAGGTCAGCCCTCACAAGCTCTCGAAGGCTTATACGTAGCTCACACTCGGTCTCTCTCCCTCAGCGATGGAGCTGCTCGATGCGGACGGCAATGGGAGTGTGACCGCTTCTGAGCTTGAGCAGGGCTGTATTGCGATCAGGAAGGAACGCATGTCTTTGATGGCAAGCATGCATGACGTGGACAGCGCAGTAGCAGGTGAGATGCTGGTAGCCCTTGGAGCGTGTCAAAGCACTATTGACAAGCCATTCCTCCATGACACTGCAGCACTCGACGGAGTCTTCATGTCTTTCTACATGTTGATATCCTTGTCCATCATTGCAGCCTTGCTCTCAGTCAAATTCAGGACTGCTGCGCTGTCGATGGGTGCTGTACTTCTTGGTTGTGAGTGGGTGCGGCTCGCATTTCATCTTTGTGATCTCGGCTGATGTCGCTTCTCCGGTCACACCTCTCAGTGAGCTGGCTCATTGGCGCCAGTGCTCAAGAAGCTCTGGCCGCGATTTTGTTCGTGTTCGTCAAGCATCCCATCGACGTTGGCGACAATATCGAGATTCCTGGGCTTTTGGCTGAGAGCGAGAAAAGTGTGACCCTCGTCGTACATGAGCTACAGCTTCTCTCGACAGTATTCGAAACGACAACGGGCAAGCTGCTGCAAGTCCCCAATGCCATCCTCGCAATGAAAGTCATTGTCAACTTTAGTAGATCGGGACCCATCGATGAGCAGGTATCAATCACTGTCGACTACACCACTGAACTCTCAGCGATCGAAGAATTGCGCCAAGACATGCTTGGGTGGATCGATTCGCGCGGTAGGGATTACCGCCCAGGTCTTGATATCCACATTCAAGATCTGGGCGATCAATCCAAGCTTGTACTGCAAGCGTCCATCAGGCACAAGTCCAACTGGGCAGACGCAAGCTTGCGCGCCGAAAGGAAGAACATCTGGCTCTGTGCCTTCAGGCACTTCATGCAGCTCCGCAAGATCTACGGGCCGTCGGGCGATCCTCATTCAGTACCCATCAGACGAGTGGCTATGGTCGATGCGCCCAAAGCCCAGACGCCACCACTAGCGCATGCGCCGAAAAAGCCCGAGGAGTACACGTTGCTGGATTCGCGCACTCAAGCGAGTGAAGCCGAGCATGCTGCCGTAGCCGACGTCAAAGGCTATAGCACATCCCTAAGTCAAGTTCCCGCTCGCGATCAACGCCAGCGAACACCGCGACGCTGAGTGTAGCGGCTCAAGCTCCAGCATTATTATGCTTGCGCTACATGCGGCCCCTCGACTCTCTACCCCGAGCTCCGTTCAACCTCGATCGCGCGGATCGCCTCAGCCTCTGCTCACCAGTCCCGTTCCCAAGTTGTATCCACTCACCTGCACTCATGACTTGCCATTCTGGACACTTTGACGGCACACTTTGACGCTCTTCCATACCCAAGCCCGCACGTCACGAAGTGAGAGGATACGAATACATGCATACCCTAGCTGGCATGCCTATCGATCAGACCTCGTGAGTCGCAGTGAGGCATTGCCTAGCTTCTACTACTTGCAAAGGGATGGACGTAGATGCGAGCAAGAGAGGAAGCGATTGGCCACGCAAGCCTAGCCTGGATGTTGAATCGTGACTGCGCCCGCCTATAGCTGGCATCCTGAAGTCGCGGCGGGTGGACCGTGTTGTTGATGAATCGATCATGCCTTGCATTGATTATTGCCCTCCTGCTGGCTGATGGGACGTAATCTGATCTTGAAATCGATAAGCGTCAATAGCGCATGCAATGCTGCTGCCACGGGTGGGGCGCATGCAGCGCTCGCTGCATTCACGTTATGATTGATAGAATCCAAGATTAAAATTATTCACTTTCGCGAATCTTTGAAGCAGCAGCGAGCACATTCGCAAGGGTCTGCATGGTCTGGGTCTGGGTCTGGGTCTGGGCCTGCATGGTC